TTTTTTATATTTAAAATAAGATGTTTATCCTGTATTTGATTGTGTTTATCTGCAGTTAGTTACACGAATTCAGATATGAGATGAAATCGGATAGGGATGAACGAGTTTAAGAGTTTTTAAGAGTTTAAGAGTTTTAAGAGTTTTTAAGAGTTTAAGAGTTTTAAAAGTTTAAGAGTTTTTAAGAGTTTTAGCCAAATGTTTTATAATATAGTATAGATATAGATATCTATACTATATTATAAAGCATTTGACAAAAACTTTTAAAAGTCATTCTTTATGCATGAAGTACTGTGTATTAATGCATATTACTTAAAATTTTAAGATTACAAGTAAATTATGCGTAAATACAACTTATTAAAACTCCATTTTTGAATTCATATAACTAACTGTAGATAAACATAATCAAATACAGAATAAACATCTCATTTTTCATATAAAAAATCTAAAATATAATTAGAATAATCATTGAGTTCCAACAGAATCAGTATCTTTATAAAATTTTATTGTTAAGCCAAAAATAAATTACTTCACTAAATCGTAAAAACATAATATTTCTCAAAACCACATAAATCTTATTATATCAACAAAGACAAAAAAATAAAACGAAACATTGAAAATAAAGATATAAGAGCAACATTTTTCCCAAAACCCACCAACTACGGTCTCCAAGTCCAACTCATAAGAGCTCCTCTTCGCAATGTTATTTATATTTCCAAAATGCCTTATAACACAATGATGTGCATTTCCCATGATGTTTATAAAACATAATAAACTAATTTTCGCCAAATACCACCAGTTATACAATAAACCATGAAAAAGGCACACTCTTATGATTAATTTATGAGAATATACATATCCCAAAAATGGGCATTTCACAAGATTTATAGATCAAATGTACTAAAGAATGCAAATCTCACCAGATAATCAACACATTTGATAAATATCAATAAAACATTTTTTAAGAGTCCAAAATGAATACTTTTGGCATGTACATGGTTTTCACAAAATAATTTGAACTCACCTTACTAGGTTAAGTTAAACCTAGATTACAAATCCAAAACTTGAGCTTCTGTTGGTGAAAACTTGAGTTCCTCAAGCTAAACTACTAGATCTATGATGCAAAGCTCTGTAGAACTACTCCCCTACTCCTAAATTTCAATAAAATATACCACAAAATAAGAAATGACGATTAAGGGTGAAAAGGGGACCAAGCTCTAGCTAAAATATGGATATATAGACCTTATCTTTAAACTCTTAGGAACAAGAAACTTTAATCCTCTTCATTCTACCCTTGAAGATTTAAAAAAAAAAAAAAACGAGTCTATAGCCTCTGAAATCGCCCAAATCGGATAAGAAATGAAAAAGTTGTGACTAAATGAAGAAAACCCCTGAAAATCGGTCTTTCATACATCCATATGGGTCCGCAAGTTGCCTAGGAACTTTTGAGCATCAAACAAAAAGTCAGGCGACATCAATTGCGACTTAGGTTGTTGGCCAGATCACCCAGACCACGTTCCATGTCGCTGTTCTATGTTCCCACTTTGTGTCGCATTGTGTTCCCACGCCATGTCGAGTCGCATGCCCATGTTGCTCGGCCGTTCCCCTGGCCATTCTCAAACTGTTTCCTCGGTCGTTCTTCGACTGTTTCTCAGTCTTTCTCCCGACCATTTTCCCCGTCATTTTCTCGGTCGTTCTCCAGGTCCTTTTTTCCAAAAATT